CCACGGAGCCAATTTCCCAGCCAGCGGATCGTGGTGGACCCAAGGCCACAATTGGCTACTTTCACCAAGAGGTGATCATGGGATACCAGATCGAAGGCTTTTTTGAAGTCAAGATATATGACATCAATCTCCTCTCCCTTGTCCAGGTGATAGGTCACCTGGATGTAAAAGGAAATGAGATTGGTCATGCAAGACCTACCCGCAACAAACCTGTGCTGGCCATCCCTCAGGATGTTGGCGTCGGCCAGTCCATTAAGGATGGCCTCTTTAATAAACTTTTCTAAGACCTTCCCCAGGATAGAGGTCAGGCTGATGGGCCTGTAGTTTGCCGGATCCACTTTCCTCCCTTTCTTGAAGATAGGCACCACATTGGCCTTCTTCCAGTCTTCGGGCACTTCACCAGAGCACCAGGAGTTCTCAAAGATCCATGCCAGGGGCTAAGCTATGATGCTCGCCAGCTCCTTGAGTACCCTGGGGTGTAGACTGTCAGGGCCGGCTGACTTGAAGGTATCCAGCCTCTCAAGGTGTTCCTTCATGAGGTCAGCATTGATGGAGGGCAGGGGATCTCACTCACCCAGACCTCCCTGTCCCGTAGTGGGCATGGGCGTCCCATGGGACTGATGAAAGACTGATGCAAAGTACCCATTTAATAGGTTGGCTTTTTCCTGGGCATCAGTTGATAGTTGTCCCATCTGGTTTAGCAGGGGTCCAACGTTGCCCTTGCTTTTCCTCCAGCTCCCCACATATCTGAAAAAGGACTTTTTATTGTCCTTGATACTCGAAGCTAGTTGGAGTTCAGTTGCAGCCTTGGCTTTCCTGGTTTGCTCCCTGCAGGACCAGACCAGTGCAGAATATTCCTTCTTGGAGGTGAATCCCGTCCTCCATCCTTTGTAGGCCTTTCTTTTTAGCTCAGGAAGTCTGCTAGATCCCTGGAGAGCCAGGGGGGCTGCTGTGCCCTCTTGCTGCCCTTCCTCAGCTAAACCTAAATCTGAGCCTTACTAAACTTCATGGTTGAGGTTTCTCAATTAGATGCTTCTAGGGAAGAAGGTATGTTTCTGATCAGGAAATACTTGAGGTAGGTCCTGAAAAGATTGAATTGATATTTCATAACTATCTTATAGCTTGAGTGTTTTAGATTTCCCTTTGACTGGGTTTACACTGAATTTCGTTAAAGGGATGCTCTCAGACTTACCAGAATGAGTGTCTGGCTCATGTTAGACCACTTTGCCTAGACTGACCACCACTGCGGTTTCTTCGTGAATCTCTCATTTTTTCTTTTTTTTTTCTCCCTGCTCAGGCAAAATCTGGCTGGACAATGTCCATTGTACTGGCAGAGAGACCACTTTGGCAGAATGCAACTCAAATGGTTGGGGAGTCACCGACTGCAAGCACACGGAAGATGTAGGAGTGGTTTGCAGCGAAAAGCGAATCCCTGGCTTCAAGTTTGACAATGCGTTGCTCAACCAAATAGAGGTAAACACCCTTAAAACATTGAGGCACATTCCAGTACCCATGGAAGGCAATGCAAGTCTGCCACTGTGCTTTGGGGATAAGAATTAGACAGAGGGTGGTAGAGACACTATACTGGCTTTTTCATTGGATATAAAGACTTGAGGCACAGATTCTTGCAGCATTTTAGTCTCAGTACAATGGGCCCCTGATCTCCTTTGGGACTTGCAGATATTTCTGTGATCTAAGTAGTATAAAATAACAACAACGTAGGGCAGAATTTGCAAACTGCTTTCTGACTCTTCAGACTGAAAAGGTGGCCTCTCTACAAGAACCACTCTTATTAGTACAAAAACATAGCTGACTGTAGGGTGGACCATGCCTGTTTAATAGCAAGGAACAACACTGCAAGAGTTCTACTTCCTGTCCTAAGAAAACCATCTTAACCAGCTAAAACAAACAGCAGATACTCCAGTACACTTTCTTGGCCTGATTTCTGTCAGCAGTAGAATAGGTAGCTAAAGATAAATATTTATCAAAATTTAAAGAAAAAATTCCTTCAAATATTTTCTTTGTTTTTCTAGTAGTATATAAAATACTTTTTCATGTTTCCTTTTGTGGGTCACTTTTTGTGCAAACGTATCAGGATAAAAAATTGAGTGTTAGGTTTGGAGCGCTGGTAAGAATCACTTTGGAGAGACAGGGTATAGATGGGATGAATAGTCCTCGCAATGAGATTAACTTCTTATTTGACTTAGAGCTATGTACTTTTCTGGTGCTTCTTCCTACTGTCCTGATGAGGCTTCACTTTGAGGCAGTGGTGAGAAGCTTTGCAATCTCTGGTATAACAGACTTGTCTACAGATACAATCAGATTCAGAGGTGAAGAACCACTCATAAATGTGGGCTTGAATTAGACTTAAAAGGCAAGGTTTACAGAAAGGTTTATGTGCATTTTAGCATATGGTGATACTAGGGCTGTGATCACTGGAAATCTCTGAAGGAAGAAGTTGAGGATCATCACTAGAAGTGATGGGATGAAACTGAATGAAGGAAAATGTAGGCTGGAGATCAGGAAAAATGAAGTTAGTGTGTGGGACCAGGGACAAATTTTCCATGGGAAACAATGGAAGCTCCATTGCCTGAATAATTTTAAAGCTGAACTTAACAGATTCCTGAATTATGAAAAGCCAGGAGAAATCCTGCACTGAAAAGGAGATGGGAAAGGTGAGTAAATGAGCCCAGAAATCTAAAATGGAAAGATGCTTACTCATCGGGTTCAAAGGTATTCATGCTGACTCTCTTAACAGTTGTTGCAGTATCTCCATTATGAGTAATGGTGGCCCTTGGCCATAACTCGCCAACCAATTCCCACCCAGCAACCACAGCTAAATCTTATTTTAAGTACAGGGGGAATCCATGGTTTTTCATGACTCAGTGTGTGGTTTCTGTGGTTTTGCTGTCTGTGTGTCTTCCATTCTGAAACAACAGTGGATGTGGCATTTTATTTTTCTTGTTCACTTAAAGTACAAAATATTCAAATAAACTTCCATAGCCAGTGTAGCAGGCTTATGAACTCTTCATGGGGACCAGCCCCTTGTGCAGGGTGAAAATCTACACTGGCTTAGCATAAGTGGTATAAGAATTAGCATTTGCTTGATGGAGCAGAAGAAAACCCATGAAGAGTGGCCCTAGGCCTCTACTCTGCATCAGAATGACACAGAAAAAATGTCCTAGTTCCATGGAAATGCAAACAGATTGCTAGTCCTGAGTCCTGATGCAATTGCTAAAGCTGGGGACTACGGTTCAGGACTCCTGGGTTCTATTTCTGGCTCAGCTGCTAACTTGCTGTAACTTGAGGGGATCTTCATATTCTCACTGGCACTATGTGGCTTGAATTAATGTGCAGAGAGCTTTACGATTGTCGTGTGAAAGGCCTGACAGAAGCAAAAGGTACTTCTGTTGGTGATTTGCCTCTTTCGTTTTGCTCTCTCCTTAGCAATTTCACATGAATGAATGAGAAGGAAAATAAGGCCTTTCATATCTGATCAGCAGGGATCCTGTTTTTCTCCGATTAAAAAAAAAAAAAAAAAAATCCCCAGTTTTCAGGTTAAAATAAGTAACCCAAAATACACATTTTTCCATGATCAAAATGAAACACCACTCCTATATCTTAGTGGCATCTCATTTTAATCAAGGGAAATGTGGATTTGGGGATTATTTTTTAAATCTGAAAATTGGGGGTTTTTTAATCAGAGAAAACCAGGACCCCTGCTCATCAGGGAGCTCTTGGGGCTCATCTCAATCGCTCTTCCCTGTTGCAGGGAAGAGTATGGTAAGAACGTAGAATATGGCAGATGAGTATTTCCTCAGAGCCACCCTGGAATTCCTGAAACAAGCTGGAAGGAAACGTGCATCAGTGCAGATAGAGGTGATCGTGCTTTGGGATGCTTCAGATATTAATCACAAAAAGCTAGAGCTCCCTGCTTTTCCATTGATAAGCATTGTATTTGACTAATGAGTCAGATGCACTGAATTAATTTAGGGCTGATTTGTTCTGCCTTAGAGGTGTTGTCAAGGCTTTGACTCGTTTCACACATTCTAAGCAAATTTGAGTATGAGCCACTAACAAGTAGGCCTGTGTGAAGCAGCTTGTATTCACTTCGGATTTGGATTCAGCTGATTTCAGGGGACAGGGATTCAATTCGGTGATTCAAATCACTGTCCTGATTCGATTTGACTGAATCTGATTCAGGGATTTGGCTGCTGCCAGGCCCGTACCCCACCCAGCCCAGCTCCTGGCACTTTGAGGAGGGAAAAAAAAAAAAAAAGCCCCAACAGACCCGGTGCTGCCAGGTGGGGAACAATCCCCACTGCCCCCCACTACCCTACGCTGCATGGGGGCTGTCGCATGAGCTGCCCACCCCCTCCCCCCCGGTGGGGTGCAGGTTTTTTTTTTTTTAAAGAGCTGGGAGCTGGGCGGGCAGGGCAGCCATGGGGGGGGCTGGGCGAGTGGGTGGGAGGTCAGGGGGGCTCACGGCAGAGCCTCCCACACAGCACAGGGCAGTGGG